CTGCTGGGGATGAATTCCCCCAAGCGAGGGGGCAGGGAGGGGGCGTTGGCGAGGGTGCCTGGCAAAGCTTTTCCAGGGAGCAGGGCTGTGACTTCCTTTCTCTGGGGGACTGGACTTTGGCTGGTGGAAGCGCAGGCCCGGTGCGGCTCGGGGGCTAGTCCGTGCAGCACACGTTGTTTCTACACTACAGCCCCGCAGATCCCATTACACAATGCCCGGTCCTGAGCCCAGCTGGGCGCCCGGCGTGTGGGGAGCGGTGCTGCCCGAGGTGGCATCGGGGACAGCGCCGCGCCTGGTCTGTCGGTTCTTTCCTCTGCGTCCTGCCCCAGCCGGCCCGTTTGTGGGGCACCGCTGACTCCTCCGTGAGCACACGCCCACCCCCCGCCCGCTGGCTGGGAGAGACCAGGACAAACCACCACAAAAGCACCAGCTGGGGGCGCCACTGCACGGAACCCAGCTCTGATAGTGGACGGGAAAACCCCCCTGGCGCTGAACGTTCCTGGCAGCCACCTCCCTCCTGCAGCACGGGGACGGGCACAGCCGCGCTGGCAGAGATCAAGGATGAAGCCGTGCCGTTGGCCGGCCTGCCTCCCCGGCTGGCTGGTGGCTTCCCGTCAGGTCTCTGCGTTAACTTTAGTGATTGTTCCCTGATTGAAGCAAGACCTGCTCCATGCAACTGGGGAGCGGGAAGTGTGTGTGTGTGTGTGTTTGGGGGGTTACGTCCTAGAGGATTTTCAGGTCTCCACTCCAAGCACAAGGATCCTATGAGTTTATAGCGCAGGTCTCCAGCCTGGTGATGGTTCTACATCCGCCCCCTTTGCTCTGGAGGTTGTTGGGGGCTGGGAGAAACAGACCCAGCCTGCTTCCTCCCCCTGACCGCGCCTGTTTGCCCTTCTCGGCAGACGAGAATGCAGGGGTGTCCCGCCCCATTGGAAAGGCAGCGAATTTTCAACCCCCCATGCGGAAACCTGTAACCTGTGAAATTCACTGCTGGGAGATCGACGTGAAATCAAGCGCTTAGCAGGATGGATGGCCAAGGGTCAGCCGTTCCTGGGGCTGAGAACCGCCACAATTACACGGGGTAGGGTACAAAAGGAGGGGCACAACACCGGGTATCTCAGGCCATGAGCCAACCTCAAGCGTCCGGGGTTAGGGGAAACTTCCTCCAAGTGCATGTTGGCCCCAATCTGTCCACTGCGGGGTCCTTCCATCTTCTGAAGCAGCTGGTCCCGGGTACTGTTAGAGACAGGAGGATACCGGGCTTGGGCAACCAGAGCGGAAGCTAGTGTGGATGCACTGTTGGGATGAAATCTTGGGCCCGCTGAGAGTCTGTTGCCATTGGCTTCAGTGGGGCCAGGCCTCTTTGGTCCCCTTGTTTATGATGGACCCCAAAAAGGGATCCGTCCAGTAAACCAAACTTCTTCAGAGGGGAAGGGCCAGAGAAGAACCCAGGGAATCTAACCCGTGATGTTCTCATCCGTATAAATGTCTGACCCTGTATTGAATCCTGTGAAGCTCTTGCTCTCGATGTTGTCTTGTGGCCATGAGTTCCACCGGCTACAGAGAGCAAAGGAAATACTCTTGCGCACAATGCACTGGGTGACATTTGCTGCCCTTCACTTTCAGTGAACGCTGTGTATAACAGGAGGCACAAGGTTTTTGTATTAGGAGAGAGCGGAGGATGTTCAACAAATGGGGTGGGGTGTATTCACCCATCATCCAGGGAACAAAAAGCACCCCCCCATTCAGCATTTGGATAGACAGGCCCGAGGCCTAGTTATAAACAGCTTCGTCCCCAGGGAGGCTGCTGTGGGGGGATAAATGTTTGCAGACCCATACTTTTAAGTGTGCAGGGCATGATGGAGGCTGGTTGATTGCAGGGGGTGTTTCTGTGGAGAGGGGCTGGAAAAGGGGAGTATAAGGTGAATGTTGTGGGTTGAACTGACCTGGTTACTTTGCAAAGGGAGGGAGGGAGTGAGTGTGTGTGTGTGTGTGTGTGTGTGTGCGCGCAGCCACAGAATTGTGACACTGGCGTGTGCGTGATACACAATCCCTGGGAGAAGCGGCTGCCCCCTGGGTGGGGCCGGGGATGCTGCAGGAGCCTTGTCCTGAACATAGAAGGGGCTCCTGGGTCTCTGTCCCGCTGCTGCCGTCTCAGACCTCCCCTTCGGCCATCCTGTCTAGCCAAGCAAAGGTGCTGTTAAGGCCCATATGGGGATGAAGCAGCCGGGCTGGATGGGAGTGGGGCATTCCCAGCCTCTGCTCTGTGCTACAGGGAGGGCCACATCTTGAGTGGCTCTGGGTTTGAGGAGGAGGTGGCTAAGGGGCGGCCCAGCCTCAGATCGGAAGCCACTAGATACGCTCCACCGCACGGTAGGGGCTGGAGAGGCAATGCCAGCGGGTGAGGGGACAGGACGTTTGGAGGCTTGGAGGTTCTTGTTAATGTCAAATGTTACCAATAGCTCACTTTAGCTGTCTGCGACAGGGGAGGCAGGTGAGTAGAGGACAGAGAGCCAGGACTCCTGGGTTCTATTCCTGGCTCTGGGAGGGGAGTGGGGTCTAGTGGTTAGAGGAGAAGGATGCTGGGAGCCAGGACTCCTGGGTTCTATTCCTGGCTCTGGGAGGGGAGTGGGGTCTAGTGGTTAGAGGAGAAGGATGCTGGGAGCCAGGACTCCTGGGTTCTATTCCTGTCTTTACCGTTGATTCCCTGTTGGGCTAGTCACTTCCCACTTCAGTACCTCAGGTTCCCCCCCTCTGAAATCATGATCCTACTTCCCAGTCTCCCAGGGACGTCACGCGTTCGTGACTGCGTGTGAAGGGGCTTGGAGACGTAAAAGCCCTACACGCTGTAAGCACTACGCGGAGCTGGGTTTCTCCAGGGGGTTCTGGTGACTCTGCCTTGGCTCTCAGGGTTTATATTGTTACCAAAACTCCCTTGATTAAAAATGCAGCCGCATGGGGGAGGAAAACGTGGTCTAGTGGCTAGAGCACAGGACAGCCGGGTTCCATTCCCAGCTCTTGCTGGGTGACCTTGGACAGGATGCAGCGCTACGTGCCTCGGTTTCCCCATCTGTGAAATAGGGCGAATACCTGCCTGACCGTGGTTGTGGGGCTCCCTGTTGTCTGTAAAGCGCCCAGAGGCTGCTGGCTGGGCAGTGCCGCAGAAGCACAGCGGTAGAGATGATACACTAGGTCGGGATTTATTCCATCTCTTCCCCCCCCCCCTTTCTTACCGTTGGAAATAGATCGCCACTAACGATTCCAACCTGTGAGCTTTAGCTGAGCCAGGCAGCACTGGAGGCAGTGGGTGTGGAGTAGGGCGCTCGGAGAGGGGCTGGGAGCATGAAGCCTCTTGTATTCAGTGGTCGCTGTGGATTGTAAAAATGCCAATAAATCAACCCTTTGGTTTTACTGTTTTTTAGTGCGATGGGCCTGTCGAGAGACAGAGAACTTGGTGCTCATGACAGCAAGGGAGTAGTAGCGCTGGCTTAAAGCAAGCCCGGCCTGGGAAACCTCCCATCACAGCTGGGCCAATGCATCTCAGCGCCAGCCCCCAACCTACGCCTGCTATTCGTGTCACGGATTCCCTGGTCTGCGGACCCACTCAGTCCTAGCCTGGGGCATCTCCGTTACTCTCCTCTGCCTCTCCTGACGTGAGGCTGCCAGGCATGCTGAAGTGGAGTGTGGGGGGGGTTCCTATGGCCAGACTCCCCATTGGGATGATCCCATCAGAGGAACTGAGCAGAGAATTCCAGCCCATGCGCTCCAATTCTGTAGAGTGGGAGGGATAGCTCGGTGGTTTGAGCATTGGTCTGCTAAACCCAGCGTTGTGAGTTCAATCCTTGAGGGGGCCACTGGGGCAAAAATCTGTCTGGGGCTTGGCCCTGCTTTGAGCAGGGGGTGGGACTAGATACCTCCTGAGGTCCCTTCCAACCCTGATCTTCTATGATTCTATAGCCTAGGCCAGAGCCCGGCTTATAAGACTACAGCCTACCTTC